GTATTGCAAAAATCAAGTACTTTTTATCCGTCTACGTAGAGAATCTGGTATCATTATAAACCATATCTCGAAATAATCGAGCGGAGAAGTAGATCTTTTACTTGAAAGTTTTTCCAGAAAGAGATGATTTAAAGTATTTAAGAACTGAAGCTTTAGTGTAGCCTACTTAATCTAATAAACTGGTCACTTCTTCAGAAACATACCAAGGTTGTACGCGCTACTAAGCTGTGTATCTATATAATTGTTGAGAAAACGAAGAAGGCACAGGCATTACAGCGAATTCTACAGCGGTTTAGTCGCGAAAATTGGAAAGCGACAATTGTTTTTGCTGGAATGCGTTGCCAAGAAAAAATATATCTACTACTCCTTTTCTTAATTTTGGATTCGATTTGTCATTTCCATCTGGTGTAAAGCTTTTCACCATGTATTGGATGCATGGAACTTTTGCCGCTTGAAACGTTGGTGCAGCATAAAAAAACATATATGACACCAAGTCTTGTACAGAAGACCTAGTAATGAATTTATGAATGACTATTTTGACTATAATCTTCCTCGAGTTACCAATGAGGAAGACTCAAGAAGCCATTGACTAAGCACTGCATAGTGGAAATGCAAAAAGGAAGCAATATGGAAAGCTCGTGGAAATTGGAGGGAAGAGTTCTAGTAAATTAGAAATATAGAAGATTGTTTTTCGAAGCATAATGAGATTTCACGGCAGGTTGCTTTCACATTGAGGCGGGAGCAAGTTCACCCCCAAAGTGCTAATTTGCTCGAGAGGAATAAAGGAAGATAACGTTTGTGCCTGTTGCGGCGATTAGTAGGACAGAAGACTGCATTCAAATTTTTTTACACCATTTGCATCATACTATAATCATGATTAACGAGGCTGATCAGGTTTTGCATAGACTTTACTATATAGCAATAATATAGATGGACTGTCATTTTGTAATCATTAAATAAATGTCCATGATTTCAGTCGATCTCATTCATCTTACGGGCGGAGCGTTCGTTGGGTGGCCATGTCGTTCGAATGCATGCTTCATCTGAACCTGCTGGTCAAGGTTCTGTTAATGCTCACGCCACTGCTCTCACAAAGGTTCGTTCCTACCCAATGTTTTTGGAAGTATTCAAAACAGATTGTAATTTCCCTCTCTGTTTTGTTTAGTATGCCGATACACCAACAGGTTCTTTCATGACGCGGCACACCTCGGACATGCGAATATCCTATGTTCATGATCGTCTCAATTATATTTT